GCGAATCAAATGTTCGCGGGAAGCAGGGGAGGGGGCGGAGTTGGGGCGGGGACTTTGGGGAAGGGGCGGAGTTGGGGCGTGGGCGGGGCCGGGGCAGGGCCGGGGGCCCGTGGAGTGTCCTCCTTTTGGAGGCTCAAAATATGGTAACCCTAAGGGAGTGTGGGGGGGAGAGAGAATGCTTTTTGGAGCATGTCAGCTTTCTATTTTGCAGGTTCCGAACTCCCGGCCCCCTGCTCATTCATTTACTCACTCAAAGCCAGCTGCAATCTGTTTGCTTTTCTCTGTGGTAAGAGCTTTGAAACCGGCACTTCCGCATTCCTGCAGCCAGTCACAACAATGGAGAGGACTGGCCACTTGACAAGGTGATTAGTACAGCGCTGCAAGCGTTTACACTGACACCCGTGAGTCGTACCCACTCCGCTGCAGCTGTTATTCCTCTCGGAGATGTGGAGTACCTGCAGCGGTGTACCCAGGGAGATACAGCGCTGTAAGTGCCCTGCCAGTGTGGACAGGGAGTGAGTTACAGCGCTGGGGGAGGCTTTACAGCGCTGTAACTTGCAAGTGTAGCCAAGGCCTGAAAGGAAGGATTTTGCCTATAATCAAGAAAGGTGTTTTACTTAGTGACTAGGTTTCACTTTAGGCCTGAAGAACCCAGATCCAGCTGGTCTGGGGGTAGTATTAAATCCTAGCCTGAATAAAAATTAGTTAAAATTGTTATTGAATAGTACAACCCCCTTTTCTCTGGGGTAAGTCAACTAAAAGTTGCTGTCAGGACTATATAAACGTGAAATAATGAGAAAATTAGGGTTTTGTTTGTTTGTCTTTTAGGCAAGCATTGCTATGTCTGGGGAAAAAATCATACTCAGAACATTTAAAATGGAATAGGGGACTTTTCCATAGCGAGAGGGATCTTTAATAGTGAATGGTTTCTATGATTTCTAATTTTCATGCATTTTAGCCCTAACTTCTTCCTTTTGTGTACTTAATACATCATAAAAGGGATGTTTGCTTTTAGTTCATTTTTCTTACCTTGTATAAAAGGGACACAGAATGAACTATATGGTGTAATTACAATAAAATCCGGATCAAATTGGCTAAACCCCTTCCTTTATTACACTTGCCAGGAAAAAATAGGAGGAAAGGTTGAGAAAATCTGCCACACAATGTGGAGGAGAGGAATGGGAGTTCAGAATGAGAAATGTCTTACCAATACCAAGAGTGAGCCACTGACTGAGATACATCTTTTCTTTGTTCGTGTTTAACAAAACATTGAGATGTTTGTGCTACTATGCTTCAGCTAGGAACTAAGCCAGGACCACAGTCTAGTGATTTTGAGTGAAACTGCTATGTAAATGAACCGATGCATTGGAATATTTCTATTATATATCAGTCGGTCATTTTTTTCCTTTCTGTACTTGCATGTACACCAGTATTTTTCTTATGTAATTATGTTTTAATTTCATAGACACTCTCAACATTTCTACCTAACACCAATGAGACAAATTTGGTGTTGGGAAAAGTGGGTGCAACTCAATTAAAATCAATAGGGCTAAACCCACTTGCATCACTGTATACTGTGTCTGATCACCTCAGGCTAATTAATTGATGTATTGTGGGGTATATAACATATTAATAAACAAATTCCCTCTGACAGGCCACAACCCCACAAAACATTCTTATTACATTGCTGCAGGATATAGTAAAGCTTTCTTGTTGAACAGAAATCATTCTTCATTGTTGTCAGATAAAAGATATATTTTTAATCACTATCAATGGTGAAATTATGCCCTTTTTATTATTTGGGGATACCCTTTTTGAGACAGCTGGGTTATATGGGTTTGAAAGATGGCAGCTTGTCCACGTTTTATCAATGTCGTTTTCCCTACTGGTTGGCAATGTGCTCAAGTTTTTGTAATATCTTAGATTTGCTTGTCTAATTGAAACCCTGCTGTAACTCCAGTGATATCATTGTGGTTACATCAGAGTTGAATTTGAAAGCCCTGTGATAATGGACTATCTTTTCCTTAATTCTAAAATTCCTTGCCTTGGGGTTTAACTAAAGACCTAATGCTCCTTTGCCATTTTACATTTCCCCCCCAAAGAATGTATAAAACAGCCCAAGGTTCTGATTCTGACCCTCACTGAATGCACGCACACCTGTAACAGTAATTTACAAAGTAACAGGGTAATCAAATATACTTTCTCCTAATTAAACTAGATTTTAGCCAGGTTGTTAGATACATTTAAAGAAAAAAAATGCTTATTTGGTTCCAAATCCCTGCACTACAAGAGAACCCTGCACAGCCATGAAGTAGGAGGCATGATTCTATCACAGGCAAACATCTTTTTGGTTCCTTGGAAAAAAATCACCTATGTTGAAACTATGTAGTAGGCAGTTTCAAGGAAGTTATTTAGGCACTCATGGAGACTATCTGTATGCATGATACCCTCTGTGCGGATAGACAGATGGAGATGGATCTAGATAAATATAGAAAAAAAATGTATATATATACACAGACACATACATACACACATACAGAGAATACAGATAGCATGTGTGTGTATATATATATACACATATATATATAAAATATGCAAGGGGTGGGGCATGCAATATGACATTTCTTTTCGTGGTCTTTCTCTATATATTCTTCAATAAATATGCAAGCAATCATGTAAATCAAACAATTATGGAGACTAACCCTGTTCTCAGTGGAAAGGGATTTCTCTTCTGTAAACTACTGGATATTAGGAAGATAGCTAGCCTTTCATGTGTTCATATACTGTAACCAAGGCAACCTTTCATTACTTTGTATCCCAGAGGACACCAGTACTAGCATCCTGTCCATGCTAAAATGGACAATACTACAGTTCTGGGAATCTGTATGCTGTGGTACAGTATCTTGAAAAAGTCATGCCCTTAGCAAGTCTCCCAGGTGCAGGGACAAGTGAGCCATCAACAACAGCTGTCAGTTTGCCTTGACATGTATGTTTGGATTTGTGTCTCATTCAAATAATATAAGATTCCTATTTTTGTTGGCTTTTCTAGGATTTATATAAAAATAATTTGTGACTACACTCTCCCCACCCACGCCTCTAATATAGTGCACACACAAAAGTATATCAAGGATATTACTTATTTTGTGGAGAAAAAAATAGAATCCCACAGCATTTCTTTTTAATAACTGTTCAGCTACAAAATTTTATTGGTATCCTTTTATGTTCCCTCTAGAGGATGTAATGCACAAAAGCATTGCCACGGAACATATAAAATTACAAATGAAATTTATTGTAAAAAGTAGAATGTCTTCTAGACTGGTGTCAGTATTTATTTCATTCATAAACCAAAACTGCAGGTATAATATATTCATTGTCAGCAAGTTCATGTGTGTAAATTGCCATCCAATGGTATTGACTGATATAAGACAGATATTGAAAAGACAATTTAAATTTACTCTTCCAAACATAAACTGTTCCACAAAAGCACTGTAAAAACTCCTTCAAGGTTTTGTGTTGTGCTTCACATTGATGGTTAACTACATAATTTGGTTGTGTCATAATCCACTGTGTTTGGTAATTTGGCATTAAAGGCCTGCAAAGCGGATTGAATCCTCACCACCTCACTGGTAGATAGTTTGAGTCTATGGCGTAGCAAGCAAGAGAACAGATCTAGACGACGCTGGCCAGGCGGGGAGAGTTTATTTACACGGTCCCGTATCTCTAATAGCTGCAAAAGTGCTGAGTCCTGTGATCCCTGAGTATAGGGGTAGTCCAGCTGCAAAATTAAGTCCCGAATTGCTTCTGGGTCAAAGTGCATGCTGTAGCCAAACACTTGGATGTTGTTGATTTTCATGTAGCCTAGGTTACGTGAAGGATCGATAAATTCCAGGGGTTCGTAGTAGATGCTTTCATTGCCATTTGGACCATTTGACTTAATTCGACTCCTCAAGTAGATATGTACTGTTTCAAAAAATGTCTTCCACTTGTTGCCTAGAGTCAGCGTCCAGTTATAACACTGAAGAGGTAAGTCCAGCTTAGTCCGCTCCCAGTCTGGGAAACTGTTTTCATTCACAGGCATGAACCAGCTTTCAGAGTGGCTGCCTCCAAAAGGGTTGACGTAAACAGCTAGAACAGGTTCCAAGGTGCTGTTTTTTGTTAGGCAAATTTGAAGAGAGATACCCAGTATCATATGGACCAAGCTAGACTTGTACTTGTTACTCTTAAGGGTAAGGAGCATCCGTTTGCGCCAGGAGGGATCGAACCAGCTATTGAGGCGCATGTCATTGCTGATGAAAATGGCATGGACTTCAATCCTCCGGTCTGTTTTTTGCAATAAATACTTCATCTCCAGGTCCTGAAGATCTGTCTCAAACCCAATGTAGTGCTCTGTGGAGTCTGCCACTTCAGGCTTGCAAAGCCCTTGGCTCAGCATGTATCCAGTATTACAGTTCCCACAGCGGGTGCGGTTGTCAGGTGCACAGGTCAAACATGCAGAGCCATCTCCCACAATGCAGGGAAGGAACCCATTGCAGGCGACCTGATCATTAGGGCAGGTGCACGAATGAGTCTCTTCAGAAAAGCTTCCCAGAAGACCATTTTCATTGCAGTACAGAAAGGACTGGATGCGGTTTAGCCAGTAGATTGACGATCTGTAAAAGTTAAAAATAATAACAATAATAATTAATAATACAAAGAAGGAGTCAGAACCCAATCAATACAACCTTGTATTTTTTCACTTTGAAAGAGACAAAGAAAACTGATATTGGCAGCAAATTCAGACACTATAAACATCTCTAAAATGTCAGATGATGACTTCTGGAGTGATATCAATGGATATATAAATTTCCAGTATGTTGAAAAATCACAAAGGAATGTTACCTTATAAACTCAGTGGCATAACAAGACAATTGGTTTATATTTTCTATTCACTGCACATCCTTACTAAGAAACCCTGTCAAGTAAATAGCTAATTTTCTGCATCTGACTTCACTTTAGTACTCTATCCACGGTGGAGTTGGGGGGTTTTGGTGCTATTTTGCTAGTTAAGTTGTTATCTGTGTGGGTGGATGTGTACCATCTTTCATCTTTGTTACGTAGTCTTTGGAGGTTTACATGATATTTTGAACGTTCTTGTTCTTGGTTGGAACTGCTGTAATTTACAGATAGTGAAATTTAGAGACCAAACATTTAGCTGGAATACCAGGTAAGAGAAAATATTAAAATAGATTCAGACTTAATTATTTGACTCACTTCTAGCACTATACTCCTACTGTTAAGCATGGGTGAATATGTCTTTCATTTTCCCCTGACTGGACTGGTAAGGCACAGTTGCAAAGAGAAACAGAATCTGGAAATGGCTCAGAGCAAAAATAACCTGCATTGCTTTTATATTTTCCAGCTTTTGTGCATGCTAGTTTTATTGATGCATTGCTTGAAGAACACATTTTCGTTTCCGCTATGTCAAAGTCCATTTTTCTAATGTTGATAAAGATGTTGTATAATTTGTTTCCCCCCCAACTATAAAATAAACATTAACACTGTAAACATGTACGATCTCAAAATTTGGCTTTGTAAAAGTGTCAGTCTGAAACACAGTAAAAACAAGTTAACCTGTACCCTTGTTATTTGATCTTTTTTCCTCTTGTGTGTCCTTTATTGCATATCAATATTTTACATGAATAACAACCCTTTGTGCAAGAAACATTTTTTTTTAAATAGAAACATGGTTGCCTAAAATGCATTCATTATGCTTTGTATCTAGTTGAAAGCAGACATTAAGTAAGAATGTTATTACTAAAGCTGGTCAAAAACTGGAATTTCCATCTTGCAGAAAATGTCAATATTACGGCATTTGTTATTGTCCAAATCAAGACAAAAAGTAAAAATATTAAACTTTGCATGGAATGGAAAGTTACAAAATAATGTAATTTTGAAAGGCAAAATGTTTTGTTTGGCTTAGTTCAAAATTGAACTGTGCCTATGTGGACTGCAGTGGTGCCACAGGGAAGCTATAGATTTGGTTAACCTGAATCAAAACATTTTGGTTTATTGAACCAAATCAAAATGTTCAAAATATTCTTCACCAAAGGGAGGTACGGGATGGGGGCAAATTTCCTGTGGAAAATTCCATGGATATGGAATCACAGAATACACAGTGCTCCAATTATTGACTATTTTGTTCCTATCTTTGGAAGGCACTTCCTCTATGTATCTTTAGTGAAAGCTAAAAGATTTGCTTGCATTACTACTATACGTTAACTACACTGGAAACAATGGTGTACGAATATACATAGTAATTTATATTAATGATGCCACATTACTGAAATAAATCTTCTTAATAAAATTCTGTCCTTGTCTGAAGGATTGAAAGTCCCATCTCAATGGTCCCTCACTACTGCCTATTCCTAGAACTTTATGGCTTGGGCCTGTCTGACAAATATCATAATCAGATTTCCAAAAGGAACAAGATAAAGGACATGGCACTCCAGAGCTTTTTTTCCCCCCCTTTAAATCTTTGGACTATGCCATTTACTTTTAAATAGTCTTTAAAAATTAGGCCTGCCCTGTTGGTAACAGTTGGACAAATACATTTACAGTATCGCGTTTAAGAACTTACCCTGATGGAGGCTGATCTTATTTACAAATGTGAATTCTAGGAGCACATCCCTCATTATCAGTTCCCCACAAAAGTTCAGTATCTTTGAAAAGTTTTGTTCATAAATAAGAATAGGTGAACACAAAGCTGCTTCTTGCACAAGAGAAACTCCATTATCTAGACATGGATTTGAAGCCCAGTGTCAGGATAGTTATTTGCAGAATTATTGTAAAGATTCCTTTTTCTGTTTTAGAGCATCAGCAATAGAGGCCAAATTTGACTTATTTTATTCACATAAATCATCATGTTATTCAATTCTTTTGGACATCTAAGTATTGATTTAGGAGCCTAATTTCAGGCACCAGTTTCTGATAATTGGAGAGGTAATCTATGTTAATAAAAAAATTGAAACTGAAACTTTGAATATTGTTTTACTGAAAAAAGGAAGAAAAGATGGAGCTTTGAGTCATGTGTATTTGTGTCAGAAAATTCTCATGAATCTTTTATCTTTTCCTCTTCTGTTTCCTTTAATCACCTAATTTCTTAAAATAAATGCATGCAAAACAGAGTGGAATCCTAATTCCAGAGAGCTAACACTAATTTAAAATCACCTCAGAGATAGCCATCATTTTATATAAATCATCTATCATTTCTGCATTCCTCATGCTGTCAACAAATAAACAAACAAACAAAAATTGGTGGCTCAGAATTGATCTGAAATTTTAAAAGGGTATTTTACAAAATATGTGATGACCAAGAGATGTGCTTGTATGAAACAATCTATACAACAAACAATATATTTTATTTTAACAACCGAACCTTTTTGTTTAGCATTTGTTTGTCTTATGTGCTTATCTGTACTGTGAAGAGTTGCACCTGTGTGAGCAATGTAATACTTCTAATGGAATAGATGGTGGGTCATCTCCTGTTTACCTTCCTAATAGAAGTAATTACACTGCAGTGAACGAGACTGCTTGTGTGAATGAGATGAGCAGGAATTGTCTCATTGACAATAAACAAAAGGGAAATCACTACCCTGTTTTCATTGTCCACAATAACAAAAAAGCAGAAGGCAAGCTAACATAATAAATAATGTTAGGTGAAGATTTCAAAAGTGATATCGTTGTTAATAATCTAATGGATTTTATTTAAAAAATTAATTAATTGTACCTGATAGCATTCCTTTAACACCTTACGATACAGTTATATCACTTTAATATTTTGTTTCTTTGATATTTCAAAGAATTATCTATTGTGACAGACCCAGACCAGTGGGGTACAGGAGTCTGGTAGAGGGCAAATATACTGGTCACTGGATGAGTAGTTTTCTGTTCCCTGAGTGACCAGAGAAGGGGCTGCACTAGACTAATCAGGAACCTGCTAGAACCAGTTAAGGCAGGCAGGCTAATTAGGATACCTGGAGCCAATTAAGAAGAAGCTGCTAGAATCAATTAAGGCAGGCTAATCAGGGCACCTGGGTTTTAAAAGGAGCTCACTTCAATTTGTAGTGTGAAAGTGTGAGGAGCTGGGAGCAAGAGGCACAAGGAGCGGAGAGGGAGAGGGAGAGGGAGAGGGAGAGGGAGAAGGAGAAGGAGAGGGAGTGGGAGTGGGAGTGGGAGTGCTGCTGGAGGACTGAGGAGCACAAGCATTATCAGACACCAGGAGGAAGGTCCTGTGGTGAGAATAAGGAAGGTGTTTGGAGGAGGCCTTGGGGAAGTAGCCCAGGGAGTTGTAGCTGTCATGCAGCTGTTACAGGAGGCACTATAGATAGCTGCAGTCCACAGGGCCCTGGGCTGGAACCTGGAGTAGAGGGTGGGCCCGGGTTCCCCCCAAACCTCCCAATTGACCTGGACTGTGGGTTCTTCCAGAGGGAAGGTCTCTGGGCTGTTCCCCAACCCACATGGTGAATCCTGAGGCAAGAAAATCTGCCAATAAGCGCAGGACCTACTAAGATAGAGGAGGAATTTTGTCACACTACACATTAACATGCAGCCCAAACAACAAACATCAGCGTTTAGGTCTTCATCCTTCTAAAGAGGGTGGGCCAAATTCAGGGGCAATAAATTAGTTATGCTAACTTAGATTCCATTATATTCAGACACCTTTATTGCTATTGGCACTCACCAACAAATGTGTGAGTGACTGGAAAGGAGTCTGTTGTCATAACAAACACACACACAAAGAAGCTCTAAGTATGGGCATGGCCTACTTTTAACAGACACTCTTACACTCACCTGTTAGTTACTTTCCTTCATGAACTTCTCTCTTCTGTCCCCTGGGCTTATCAGTAAAACCAGTTGACTGCCTTTAATGTAAACTCAGTGGGCCAAATTCAGAAATGACATGCCACAGGATGACCTGCATGTTTCTCTTTGGTGAGTAGGAGTCTAAAGATTTCTACAATGTCTAAATAAGACAAAGGCCTTGTCTACACTGCCACTTACAGTGCTGAAACTTTCTTTGCTCAGGGGTCTAAACCCAACTAAATCACTCTGGAATGTGAAAAATCCACACCTCGTGGATATAGTTAATATAGTTAAGTGATATAGTTAAGCAGACCTAACTCGTGGTATAGACAACCCTAGGCTGACAGACACAATTCTTCTGTTGACCTAGCCACTGCCTCTCACAGAAGTGGATTAAGTACGCTGATGGGACGCTCCCTCCCATCGGCATAGGTAGTGTCTACAGTGAAGCACTACAGCAATGGAACTGCAGCGCTACTGCTGTAGACACGCACTCCTGTTCTTCTTTTTGCAGATACAGACTAACACGGCTGCTACTCAGACTTGTTTCCACTCACCTCCCAAATGGTCCAAGAATATTTACCAGTATGATTCCTTTGTTATTTGCATGAATGAAACCAACTGCTTTGTATTACTTTACCTCTTTAAAGTTGGCATTAAGCAGTAATAATATACTTCCTAGTTCATCTTTGTCATATTACTTTTACTGAAGTAAATTAAAAAAAAATTAAAAAAAATAGAAAAAAAAATCTACATGAAAGGTATGTAACCATACTTTATCCTACTAGTCCTTAATAGATACATTTAC